CAGTGAAGGAGACACCACCTGTGTCCCTAAGTAGGAGTGGGTACCAGGGGTAGGGTAGGGAACCTGCAGCCCTTTGAACTGAATCTAAACTTTCGCAGAACAAATCCCCTTAATGAAAGGTTCTGTTTGATGAAGTTTGGATTCAGTCATCTTGAGGACCTAGAGGTTCCCCACCCCTGCCCTAAGGTCTTAAGGACCTGCCTAGGGCTTTTAAACCCTAATGCTCTTTCTTAAGTTCCTTGTGGTGGTATAACATGAAAGCAGATAATACTACCAGATGTGGCTAAAATCTTGGGAAGCTTTCAGTCCTGTACCAGTTATATATACTCTAGGAAAAACATCAGACCTCTCATTAAAGTCTGACGAATAGCTGCTTCAATAGCAGGAGTCATCAACCACCACCACAACTTGACGCCTTTCCTTTTCCTCTTACCCAGTTTGCCTCCTCATGCCACCTGTGAATTCATATCACTCCTTGAAATGAATCCTTCTCCAAAGACTCTCTAAACATTATTTAGCTTCAAGTGTTCAGTGGCTTTTTTCTTCCCTTAATTTTACTATGTCACATTTTTCTACTTTAAACCCTTCTGATGTGCTGCTACCTGCTACCTTATCACATCTTTATTTTTAACCTAAAGCCCATCCATCTTTAAGCAGCACTACATCTCCTTTAACTAGCTTTTTTGCCTTCTTTTCTAAGGAGGTGGCCCCTCCCCTTCACATACATATAGCAGTTACTTGACCATAGCAAAAAGATAAACATGTGTACTGTTCAGGCCACTGCGGAATTTCCCTGTATCTGTATATCTGCTATTAAAATCTGAATCCCATGTAATTTTAAGTAGAAATTTTAAATTTTGCTCAAGTAATTATTATAGTTAGCATCATGTACTGCTTTACAAATATTATTTCATTTTATCCTCAACTATAGAATGTAGAAGCTATTATTATCCCATTTTACATATGTGGAAACTGTGTCTGAGGGAAGGTGAAGTTACTTAGCCCGGGGTCACATAGCTAGTAAGTGTCCAAGGCTTAGTTTTGAATTAACCTCTTTTCTGATTTCCAAGTCCAAAGCTGTAGCCCCTGCATCACCTAGCTGCCTGATTTGCACCAGTTTGGTGGTACTTAAGGCTCTTGCATTATTAAAAATGTTAGTTTTTCCTGTATAGTTTTTTTTAGGCAGTTGGGGTTAAGTGACTTGCCCAGGGTCACACAGCTAGTTAAGTGTCTAGTGTTTGATCTGAGTTCGGATTTGAACTCAGGTCCTCCTGATGTCAGGGCCAGTGCTGTATCCACTGTGCCACCTAGCTGCCCTCTTCTGTATAGTTGTTAAGTACAATTCAATTCCTGGAAAAGGGGTAATTGTAGATATTAACCAGAATACTGTAATCATAGACACTGAGCTTTTAAAAAGACTTTAGTACAAACACTTTCAAAGAGGTAAGAAGTGTCTCCTAATTGGATTCAGCTAGAAACCCCACTTTTACCAGCTATATTCAATGTCTGTTTTCATTGGCCCTTTGGGCAGGAAGCTGTTAATTACTAATCTGTGGCAGTGAAGCAAGCAAGTCTCTTCTAAGGAAAATGCAGAAAGATTGCTATAAATAAATAGCTTCCCCAGCTGAGGAACAGGTGTGGCAATCAGTGTGAGCTTCCAGCAAGAACTTACCTCCAAGAAGAGCATCAAAGCAAGTCGATGATCATCCCCTCATTTGTTTTATAAGTCACAAAGGTACTTGAATATAAAGCTATGACAACAATTCTAAATCTAAACTTATCCTAGATAATAATGACACGAAGCATATAAACCTCTTTGGTTGGCCTCATTGGTCTTAGAGGGCAGCCAGTTGGCACAGTGAGTAAAGCCTGGAGTCAGGAAGATTCTTCTTCCTGAGTTCAAATCTGGCCTAGTTGTATGACCTAGGGCAGATCACTTAACCCTGTTTGCCTCAGTTTCCTCATCATTACAATGAGCTGGAAATTGCCAGGAAAACCCCAGATGGCATCACAAAGAGTTGGGACACTACTGAAAATGACTGAACAACAGTATTGGTCTTGCTGGTCTAGAAGTTTCTCAAGCTTCCTTTCTAGGTAGATACTGCCAGTTTCAGTTTTATGTCTTTTTCCTTGCCTTCTTGCTGTTCCTCATATATGGTACTTCATCTCCATCTTTGTACCAGTTGCCCTTCATACCTGGAATGTATACCCACCTCAATTCTCCATTTGTAAGAATTCCTTGTTTTCCTTCAAAACTGTTCAGAGTGAAGCCTTTTCTGATCTTTCCCACCCATTCTCAACTTTACCCTTATCTTTATGTGGAATCATTTTGTTACATAGTTTCAGGGACTATTTCATTTTTTTCAGTGTTTATATCCCTAGCACAGTGCCTGGCACGTAGTAGATGAAGAATAAATGCTTGTTGATAGATTTAGTTCCATTTTATTCAAAGAATTAAACTTAGAACATAGGCTTTTAGATTTGGATGTTAGAAATCAGTAATTTAGTCAAAGTTCATTTAGAGATAAGGAAACAGACTAGTAGAACTAATATGACTTGCCATAGTGACCAGGCAGAGACAGAATTTGAATCCAAGGATTCTGACTCCAAATGCAGTTCTCTTTCCTCTACCAGTGTATGTGTTGGACTTAAGCAACTGTTTTGGTTCATTTGGAATTTAAGCTTGTAGCTAAGTTTGGGTAGCTTTTATTTTAAGTAATAGCTTTCTTTTCAAGTATGTAATTGTTTGAAATAGAAAATTACTTGAGTCCAGAGGTGTATGTTGAAGTTTAGCTTTATCTCAGTTGTGGAAATAGGCAGCAGCATATTTACAAGATTTCTGTGGTATAAATTTCATATTTCTTTTCCTGAATCATTGCCCCTTTAAAAGCCCTATAATTAGCCAAGTTCTTACTAACCTCATTGGGATAGATGGAACCTGTGATTTATTGCTACTGTATATTGTTAACATAAACGGGTACTGAAAATTCAGTAGGTGAATACCGAAGCCACACAAACTTAGTCATAGTGATTGCCCAGAGACCTTTATCTCTGGCCATTTCATTTCACAAGGGGATAAATGGAAATGCACTTCTAAAAGAGTGCTGAGGAGTACAGGAGGAGCTTAGAACATTTGAGTATGCTGGTAGTATTTTTATTTATAGTCTTCAGCTGAAAGTTGAAACTACAGGTTTCTTTAGAGAGAAATAAGAAGTATTATTACAACTAAAGGTAATAATAAGTGGGGAAAGAGTGGGCAGTGCCTATTTATATTCCTAAGAGATTCTACTCTTGGCCCCAGATACTTAACTGAATGAGTCACAAATGCATTTATCCCATCAAGAAGGAAAAAAATCATTACCTAATTCTTTCTTTAAAAAAATTTTTAACCTGTCAGATTTATAGAGATTGGGAAGAAATTATGACCAAACAAGAGATAGAGGACAGTATGAAATGGCAAAATGTATGTATAATTTTGATTATATTAAGTTGTAAAGTTTTTGCACAAAGCCAATGCAACCAGTATTAGGAAAGCAGAAAACTTGGGAAGAATTTTTATAACTAGTGTCTCTGCTAAAGGCCTCATTTCTAAAATATGTAGAGAATCGAGTCAAATTTATAAGAATACAAGTCATTCCTCACTTGATAAATGGTCAAAGGATATGAACAGGCAGTTTTCACATGAAGAAATTAAAGCTATCTATACTCATATGAAAAAAATATTCTAAATCACTAATGATTAGAGAAATGCACATCAAAACAATTCTAAGGTACCATATCATACCTATTAGATTGGCTAACATGACAAAACAAGAAAATGATAAATACCGGAGGAGGTGTGGGAGAATTGGGACCCTAATGTACTGTTGGCGGAGTTGTAAACTGAGCCAACCATTCTGGAGAGCCATTTGGAACTATGCTGAAAGAGTTTTAAAACTGTGCATACCCCTTGATCCAGCAATATCGTAACTTCATAGAAATGGGAAAAGGACCCACATGTACAGAAAGATTTATAGCAGTTCTTTTTGTGGTGGCAAAGAATTGGAAATTGAGACAATGTTGGGGAATGGCTGAATATGGTATATGAATGTAATAGCATACTATTGTGCTGTAAGAAATGATGAGCAGGTGGACTTCAGAAAATCCTGGAAAGAGTTACATGACCTGCTACTGAGTGAAGTGAGCAGAACCAGGAGAACGTCGTATACAGTAACAGCCACATTATTCGATGACTAACTTTGATAGACTTACCTCTTCTTAGCAATGCAAGTATCTAAGACAACTCCAAAAGATTCATGATGGAAAATGCTATCCACATCCAGAGAAAGAATGCAGATTGAAGCATATTATTTGCTTTTTCACTCATTCTCTCTTATTTGTTCTTTCTAGTGGTTTGTCCCATTCATTCTAATTCTTTTTTGCAACATGACTAAAGTGAAAATAGGTTTAATATGAATGTGTGTTGAGTCTGTGTCAAATTGCATGCTATCTTGGGGTGGGGGGAGGGGAGAGATGGGGAGAAAATTTGGAACTCAAAATCTTATGGAAGTGAATGTGGAAACTAAAAATGAGTAGATTTACGAAAAAATTAACTGAGCTTAAATTCACAACTTAATCTTTTTTAAAATGACCTACAGTGTAGAAGCCTAATTTTTTAAAAATCTCATTTCATTGATTTTTTGTCACTCTGGTGTTAATAAGTATTTAGTTGAATATCATTGAGAAGTCCAAGCATCTGACAGGGATGTATACCCCGACATTTCTAGTGGCCATTGGAGTAGCATGCAAAGAGGATCCATCTGTTTTCCTTTTTTTTTTCCCCCACTATAGCATCAGCATTTGAAAAAATTTATGATTTAATTGGTCCTTTTAATTTGAAAATATTAGTTTATATAATCTGTCATCCGGTCTAAGAAATTGCAAGTAGTGAGTAAATTTCACTATTGCTATCTTCCATTGCTAAACATACTAATATAGTTAATTTTCTTCTTCATCCATAGGCTAAAGAAATTCTTACAAAGGAGTCCAATGTGCAAGAGGTGCGATGTCCAGTCACTGTCTGTGGAGATGTTCATGGGCAATTTCATGATCTCATGGAACTTTTTAGAATTGGTGGCAAATCACCAGACACAAATTACTTGTTTATGGGCGATTATGTTGACAGAGGATATTATTCAGTTGAAACAGTAACACTGCTTGTAGCTCTTAAGGTAACTTTTACTATTTTTTTTTTTGCCATATGGCCTTAGATGAATGCTTTTTTAATATCCTAATGTGTTTTTTTTTTTTACTGAAAATAGACATTGAAATTTCTTAATTTTTAAAATGCTGTGAAATGAATGAAGAGATGATAGAAAAAAGAATGAGTTATTTCCCAAAGAGAGCTATGTCTAGGAATTAGTGTTGTAAAGCTGTGCTAACACATAATTAGTACAGGTATCCCAGGCTTTTGTGTATTGGTAACTGGGAATGTCTGGGGGAAAAAAATTCTTTTAATACTATCGATAGCTCCCTTTGAAGGAAAGCTCTAATTGCAGAGCATTATTAGAGCTTCTTGGTCAAACTCAATTTTGTGCGAGGATATATATGATACAGCAGCCATGAGTTGCTTTTCCTCAATGTTTCCAAAGGAGTGAATTGTTGTTGTGCCAAAAGGTGGGCTTTTGGAGGGGGTTATCATGGTAATTCATTTTTTCTTTGAGATTTTGAGGTTAGTTCCCAGTTACAAATTAAACTCCATATAGCTTAAGGGGAAATATTTTTATCTGTTCCATAAGAAGGTTGTACTGTATGACTTCTAAAGACATTTTCCTGGAGTCTTTTTTTTTTTTAAGTTTTATTTCTGTATCACTCTTGAGAGACATTTTCCTGTTCTAAAATCCTATGACACTGATGAACCAAATTGAAAGTATGAAAGAAAACATATAAATCAGCCTATTCCTAGGCTCAGAATTACTTACATGATGAACAGAAATTTAGTATCCAGCTATTTCATTTCCCTAAGGATTTGTGAATTTAGAGTTGAAGGATGTGCTTTTGGTGCTTGCCTAGCAATAGAAGGATGAACTGTGGATGGAATATTGAGGCTGCTAGAAAGCTTTCAGGAATATTTTAAACTTTGTGAGCTTGGCTGTTAGGAAGGAAAGTGGTAGTAGTTGGATATTTTCCTAAGTAAACTTGAACAGCTTCTTTGAGGATCCTTATATGTTGTAGTTGGCTTCCTTTTTAAGAAATTAATTAATGTTCTTTTCTGTCTTGGTGTTCAGGTTCGTTACCGTGAACGTATCACTATTCTTCGAGGGAATCATGAGAGTAGACAAATCACACAAGTATATGGTTTCTATGATGAGTGTTTAAGGAAATACGGAAATGCAAATGTTTGGAAATATTTTACAGACCTTTTTGATTATCTTCCTCTAACTGCCTTGGTGGATGGTCAGGTATGTTTTGATGCCATTTTTTGTGTGTTAGTATAATGTCAATACTTAGCATTTGCTAAATGAGTGGCAGGCATAATGGGACAAAAGGATGATAGAGACTTGATTCCTGCCCTCATGGAGTTCAGTCATAAAAGTTTACATAGGACAAATTACATGAAAATACTGATGGAATAAAAAACCAAGGGTATGATTGGTGGGGGATGAAGTTAATCAGAGGAGGCTTTCTTGACAGCTTGGAGAAGCTGAATTGAATCGAGTCTGAAAGAAAGTAGTACATATGAATTGTGGGGGAGGGGAGTTTTCCAGTTTTGGGGAATAACATGATAAAGGCACCGAGAGAAAGAATAAAGAATAGTAGACACTGGTAGCTGTGAAAATCAGCCTACGCATGAGACTGTGATGGGTAGTAGAGATACTTGAGGTTAAATAGGCTTAGGGGTGGCAATTTGTGTAATGCTCTGATATAGCAAATTAATATAAGATACTTAAAGCTTCTGTTGAGTAGTCTTAATATGTAAGCAATTCTTTCAGATTTTCTGTCTACATGGTGGTCTTTCACCATCGATAGATACACTGGATCATATCAGAGCACTTGACCGCCTACAAGAAGTTCCCCATGAGGTATTTGCTTTTATTTGCTATTTATAAACTGTTCTATCATTTCCTCTCTCTTTTGAGGAGGTTAATTAATATTTGAAACCTAATAGTATTTGTTTACATTTATACTGTGTTATCTGTTCTTAAAATAGGTCACTAGTTAAAATATGTGTTATTTAGGTCTGAATAGGTCAATTAAATTTAACACTTCTCTGGCCACTAATTGTGGTATATCACCTTGAAATATATTGATCATTAAAGGGTTTGGGTAGGAGAATGTGAATTGATATACCACTGCAAGTCCATCTATCTCTGTTCCTGGAAAAGCAAGTTAAAACACATAATCTTTTTAGAATTGTCTCTATGAGGGAGGGAGAGAATTTGAAACTTAGAGTTTTAAAAAATGAATGTTGAAAACAAATAATCTACGTGTACAAATGTGCTGTTTCTGGTTTGTAGAAGTTGAAATGACTCATAGTGTGTTATTTTTATGAAAACTGATTTTGAGACAGCTAGGTAGCACAGTGGATAGAGCTCCAGCCTTTGGAATCAGGAGGACCTGAGTTCAAATTTGGCCTTAGACACTTGACACTTACTAGCTATGTGACCCCGGGCAAGTCACTTAACTCCGATTGCCTCACCAAAAAAAAAACAAAAACAAAAACAAACAAACCAAAAAACTAATTGTAATTTTAACATGTGTTGTAGGGTCCAATGTGTGACTTGCTGTGGTCAGATCCAGATGATCGTGGTGGTTGGGGTATTTCTCCTCGAGGTGCTGGATATACATTTGGGCAAGATATTTCAGAGACATTTAATCATGCCAATGGCCTCACATTGGTGTCCAGAGCTCACCAGCTTGTGATGGAGGTAAGTCATATGATCATAAGATTTAGAGCCAGAAGTATTCTAAAATGATTTCCACTCAATTAGAGGTATAGGAACTAAGGTGCAAAGGTGAAGTCATTTGCTTATTTATTACTCTCTTTTACAATATTCCTGACAAGTGATCATCCAGCTTTTCCTTGAAGACTTCTAGTGAGAAGGGGCCTGGTTCTTCTTTGGGCTTTACATGCCGATACAGAAAGTCAGAATTGAAAAAGGGAGACTGGTGGTCATTCCTCTCCTGGCAGGGAAGTTAAGCCTTCTGCTCCCAATTTTTACGTTCTGGAAATCTGTAAAGCTGTAAGAAAAGAGCACAATTGGAGTGATGCCCAGAGACTATACACCATGCTTCCCATTATGCCCTGTAATGTCATTTTGGAGTAGAGTGGGTTTATTTTTATATAAACAGCATATTAAATGTTTTAACATTTATTAGTTAAATATCTTGGCCCTGTTCCATGTGTATCTTTTGACATAAGCTGAGTTTTTTTTCCTTGGTTTCATACTAACATAAAATGTTTATACAACATACTAAAATATGTGCAGTAGCTCTGCAGTAGAGCTACCATTTATTTATGTTTCCCTAAGGTTTGTGAAATTTTTGGAATGTCCTATTTAGGTCTCTTGTGACATAGTGATCTGTCCTGGGCAACCTCCTCTCCCTTTCCCACTCCCTTTCCCTTCCCTACTACCTCTACCTCTGGTTCAATTAATATCTCCATGTAGCTGACTCCCAAATCTACATATGCAATCCCCACCCCCAGTTCCACATTTCAAACTACCTTCTGTTTCCATTTCAGTTGTCCCATAGGCATCTCAAACTCAACATGTTCACAGTAATACTCCTAATCTTTCTCCCTAAACCTAACTCCTTCTCATTTTCCCCATTTCTGTTGAGAGCATTGCCATTCTTGGATTCCAGTCTTTTCTATTCTGCTGATTATTTTTGCTGCTCAGGCAATGGATTCTGCTGTCACAGTACTCTTTTCTTTTTTAAAACCATTCAGAGGGTTGGCTAGGTGGCGCAGTGGATAGAGCACTGGCCCTAGAATCAAGAGGACATGAGTTCAAATCCAGTCTCAGACCACACACTTGACACTTGCTAGCTGTGTGACCTTGGGCAAGTCACTTAACCCCAGTTGCCTCATCAAAAAAAACAAAAACAAACCATTCAGGAACATCTTGCTGTGGTTCTTTGCTCTCTTGGCAATCTGTAGGGCCCTTGCCACATCAAGCATTGATTCATTTTTCTTTTTTTACAATTCATAGATGTCTGGGACTCATTTAATTAAATTGGAGGCCATATTCCTTCTGTTGTTAATTTCTTCCCTGTTTATCTGCTTATGCTCAAGGTCTTTAATTGAGTTTTATTCAAATTCTTGACATCTTTGGTTATTTCAGTTTTTTGCCCTTATATTCTCCCATGGTTTACGTTCTGATTCCTTCTCTTTTTATTATGGTTTCCCCGGGAGCTGGATCTTAAAGCCATCTCAGACTTCTCTGTAACTTCAGTCTCTGCCACAAGTGACTTTGCTTCAGGCAGGCCTGATGGATGCATTCCATCCACATTGGCATCCTTTTTCAGTTTTCTCAGTAATGTTTCAGTAGGTAATACTGCAGTATAAGCAAGAACAACCTTCTCTGCCTTTTGATTTTCTTTGGCATTGTGTAGAAGGTGTAGAATTGAGCTCTGTTGCAAGCTTGTGAGTCAGCTTGTGCAACCTGCCATGCCAGAACATGGGGAAGGGAAAAGGGGTTGCTGAGTGAGTGCATTAAGGGTGAGAGATTATCTTTCTTTGCTATTAGTTCATTGGATTTTTACCTCATTAGACTTCTTGATGTTCTGGTTGGTAGAGACAGCTAAAATTGCTTTATGTCTTCTGCCCAATTACTATTTTGGAATGGTTTTTGAGATCTTGAAAGTTGGAAAAAAATGTCTAGCTCTCTACCTTTTTTGGTCATGTGATCCCAGGCACGGCCATTCTTAACAGTTTGGTTTTTTTAGGGTCCTATCATAGGAGTCATTCCTGACTCTGTTCTCCACTTACCATATGTAGTTATTTGTCGGATTTTATCAATTCTGTGTTCACTATATCTCTTTTGTTTACCTCCTTCTCTCCATTTACACCACAGCCACCCTAATTCAAATTGTCTTCACCTCTTGAACCATTGCAGTAACCTTGTTACTTTTCATCTAGAATTTGTTGCTACTCCGTTTAGCTGTAAAGACACGACTATGTCACATATATTTTAATAGTTCCCTGTTGCTTCTAGAATAATATAAAAGCCCATGTGTTTTCTTCTACGTATCTTTCCAGTTCATTTACGGTTATTTTCCTTTACACATTCCATAATCCTTTTCTGCTGGCCTGCTTTCTATCCCCCACGTGTGACATTCTGTCTCTGACTCCTTGCCTTTTTATCAGCTATCCTTACTAATGGGATGTTGTTCCTCCTCAGGCCTGCTTCGTGTAACTCCTCGGGCTCTTGAAGCCACTTTTCAAGTGCTACCTCCTATAGACGACCTTTACTGACTTCCCCAATAGTGTTCCCTCCCCTTGAAATCACTTTGTATTTTGTATTTATTTGTCTGTATACATATTGTATTCCCATAATGAGACCCTCAAAACAGGACAATAATTTTTTTAATGTTATTTTATTTAGTGGTGTAAGTAAAATAGTGATAAAACTATTCTAACTTGATATTTCTTTTTGCTTCATTTAGGGATATAACTGGTGCCATGACAGGAATGTAGTAACAATATTCAGTGCTCCAAACTATTGTTACCGTTGTGGTAACCAAGCTGCAATCATGGAACTTGATGATACTCTAAAGTACTCCTTGTAAGTATTTACATAATAAGTTGTCTGTTAAGTAACAATACAAAATTTTTAAAGTAGAATTGGGTTTGGTAGCAGTTAGAACTATTAAAGGTGACTGTAATTTTAAAGGTTTAGAAATGAACCAGTATGCTATAATTGTTGCAGTTATTTGAACTCATTCATATAATGTTCTGTAGAGTTTATAATGTGAAATAGGCAGTATAAGAATTATCCTCATTTTACAGATGAGATAACTAAGGCTGAGAATGGTTAAGTAATTTCCCCATGGCCACACTGTAGTGAGAATCTGAGCTAGGAATCAAAACCAAGACCCCTGGAGCTAAATCTAGCGTTCATTCTGTTCTAATTTTAAAAATATAGTTGTATTGAATAGCTGTGGGTTTTCAATTACCGTTAAAGAAATTTACAGTTCTGTTTTTATAATGATGATAATAATAATAACATTGTGTGCACTTGCTTCCCAAAGAGCCATTGTTCTTTGCAAAGACACAAAATGTCCATGAAATGTAATTAGTACACTAAATTGAACAAGTGTCGCTGAAGAATATGATTGAGACCAGACTTCCTTTTACGTTCCACATGTTGTTTGTAGAGTTACCAGGAAGTTATATTATAGGTTCATGGCAGAGTGTTAAGGTGCAGTGGGGTGTAGATGGGCAGGTTGACGGAGAGAGACAAACCATGGCCCAGGCTAAGAATAATTTTTATATTTTAGTGAACTCATTTGACATTCAGGTCACAGTGGACCTCTGCTTTAGGGCTTTAAGCCTTATTTTAACAGTGCGACTAATTAGTTGTGTGCCAGGGAAGGCTGAAATTAGAAAAGTAAATCCCAGAATGAGAGTAGGAAAAAATAATTTGTTTCCACTACCATTATTTTTAGCTCTTAAAATACAAATGATTTGTTTTTCAGCTTGCAGTTTGACCCAGCACCACGTAGAGGTGAACCACATGTTACTCGTCGTACCCCAGACTACTTCCTGTAATGAGATTTTAAACTTGTACAGTATTGCCGTGAACCATACGTTGACCTAAAGGAAATGGGAAGAGCAACAGTAACTCCAAAGTGTCAGAAAATAGTTAACATTCAAAAAAAAAACTTGTTTTCATACGGACCAAAAGATGTGCCATATAAAAATACACAGCCTCTTGTCATCAACAGCCGTGACCACTTTAGAATGAACCAGTTCATTGCATGCTGAAGCAACATTGTTGGTCAAGAAACCAGTTTCTGGCATAGGCTATTTGTAGTTACTTTTGCTTTCTCTGAGAGACTGCAAATGTTAAGATGTAAACATTAACACCTCGTGAATACAATTTAACTTTCCATTTAGCTATAGCTTTACTCAGCATGACTGTAGATAAGGATAGCAGCAAACAATCATTGGAGCTTAATGAACGTTTTGAAAAATAAGTACCAAGGCCTCCCCTCTATTTGTGAGTTTTGAAATTGTTTTGTTTATTTTCAGGGAATACTGTTTAATTTAATTGTATGATTTGTCTGCACTCAGTTTATTTCCCTTCCCAGCCTCAGCCCTACATTGTTCTTTGTTATTGTCAGATGCTGGTGAGTTGTTTTGAACAGAACTGTTTTTTTTTCTGTAAGATGTTACTGCACAAGAGCGCTGCAGTGTTTTTCATAATAAACTTGTGAACTAAGTACTGAAAAAAATGTCAAAATTTGATTGTAGCAAAGGGCAGACTGGTGCTGTTTTATTCAAACAAAGAATCAATTTATAAATTGTTGAATTCCAGGTAAAGAAAAATAAAAATCAAGGCCACTACAGAATCTCTGTGGAAACTTATTGCTAGTGTTGACTTTCGCTTCAGGACTATTTCCAGCTTGTAGGTACCACCCCATCTTTTTCACCACATTTATGTGTTTATAAGAATAGGCTTTTTTTATTTACCTTAATTTCGGGGGAGGGTGTGGGGGGGGTTGATAGTATGTAAGAATAAAATCCTGATACTTCAAGATTTTTTTTTCTTCCAAGAAATACCATGTTTTCAAATATTGTCATTTTAACTGAAAATACCATATCCATATAAGACCTTTTTAAAAAGCCACATTGTCAAATTACTTGCTAGTAGCAAGTAGTAAAACTTTGCTGTCTACACTTTAGCGTAGTCCCAGATAAGAGCAATTTAAAGTGTTATATTTTGAGTCTTTGGTTCTAGCCTGGATCAGAATTTGGCTGTTAGAACTAAATGAGGTTACAACAAGAATAAGTCTTTGGACCATGGCTTTTTATATGTATCTTCTCTTCCCTTCCCTCTCTCCCCAGTCAAATTAAGTTTAAATGAAATGGCATTAATGTTATGGCTTAATTAAGAGTCATTTCTTTTCTAATCTTTATAGTAGTAAGATTAGGAGGTTAATCCAGTGCCTCTGGAATCTTAATTTAACTTATTTACTAGCATAGAACCACTATATGACTCCTAAAACTTGGAGATCAATTCCTTGTTATGTATAAAAATGATTTAATTAAAGTTTTCCTGTCTTTGTGTGCATGAGTTGGATATCTTCTACTTTTCCCTTTTCTGTCATCTGTGGATAATGTCTCAACTGACTAAATGTGTCTTGGTAACACTTGGCAGAGGATTCAAGAATTGCCAGGGATATCATTTTCCTCAGCTTTTAAGCTTTACAGACATTGGAATATTTTTTTTATTTCCATAGTTACCTTCTGGCTCTTACTCTTTTCTTTTTTTCTTTTTTTGCATCATCTCTAATTTAGATTGCTTTCTGACTTAGTTTCACTTTTTTTCCCATCATCTGTGTTCTTATAAAGAGTTTATGTGTACCAGTTTCATCCTGTTGCCCAATTAAGTCAGGTGCCTCAAGTGCCTGTAGACTTACTCATGCAGCTTCCCTGTGGGTCCTGTGATGTCAGAATTATCTCTTAAGGCATGCATTCTTCCGGTGATTGACATGAAGTGCTGTTAATTTAGGTAGGTACTTGTCCCTTCCAAGGTAAATGGCACAGAGCGTTTGGTATTTGGTAAGTACATAGGTCTGCCTGGATTTTGATTGTTTTTTAAAACAATATATATATCATCTGAAATAAATCTTCCTAATAATCTTAGGGGTAAGAGTAGGGGTTGTTGGTGATTGTAGTAATTTCCTTCATAATGCAATCAGATATGTTGAAAAATAGCCCCCTGTTTAGTATTTTGATTTATCTATATAGCACTTGGAAGCCCTTATTCTTGAAATCCACCTTTCCTTCTGCCCTTTCAAAGAAAGAAGAGGTATTCATTTTTAAAGACAGTCAACCTAAACTTAGCAGTTGTGTTGATTCTTGGCACAGTCTGTGTGCCAAACATTTGGTCCTCTGAAGTTTGCTTTTATTTTTAAACTGATGTTACAGCATTAGTGTTTTAATTTCTTAAATATTTTCCCCATGGGATAACCTTAGTGTCGAAGTCTTTTAACTAGCTTATAAGGATCAGGGGGATGTTTTTCTTGTCCTATACTTAAAACTGTCTAATACTTTGCTTGCATTAAGAAGTAGAACAGGCCCTGATTTGGTTGTTACAATATTGTTTAGGGATATTAGCCAATTTTTTGAGAGTTGTTTGAACCTACAGTAACATGACTTCCCATATGAGACAATCAAATCAAGATTAAATTAAATACATAGTAATTTTTAAAGGGAATGAATTTTATAAAAGTCTTACTGATTTTTAACTGACTCTAGTACAAGGTTACTACATAACTTGATGTGTTCTGACTTGATAGCTCCTCTTTCTCCCCCACCCCACCTTTTTTAAAGCAAGCTTTTAATTCAATTGAGAAAGCACATCTTTTGGACTTTGTCCCAAATATAATATAAGTGCCTTAGCCTCTGTTCACGGGAATTTTTGGATTTATAATTGGTGTTTGCATGTAACAAATGTGCCTAATAATAAAGCATTCCCTTTACCCCCCAAAAAAGAAGTTTTCATGGCTTAGTATGTATGCCAATACATACTTTCTGAACAAATGTTAGCTCTGAAGTTATCCCTATTTAAAATGTTATGAGGATCTATAAGATTGTTTCTTGTCATATAAAATCTGAAATATCTGACCAGCATCTATCTACAGTCTGAGAGGAAAGGTCATAATACTTAGAATTTTCAAAAATTATTGATGTATCTGTTTCTTATACTTGAATTCACTTTGAATAATTTCCCCCAGTACATATAATAAGGGAATAGCTTTGAAGTCCTCTTTTCTCTTCTTCCTCCCTTGAACATGTGAGCAGCTTTTGTGTGCACACACAACTTTTCCCTCGAATTATGGCTAATAAGGCATTTATGAAACTAGCAGGTTAAATGGGATAGGTTGTACAAAGGCTGTTGTTGAGATTTTGTTATTCAACTTCAAGGAATTTTAAGTAGTTAAAAATTTGTTTGGCTGGTGACTTCTTTTATCTGTGTTAGAGATGGATTAAGAAGATTGCTAGTTGTGTGTTTGAGCAGCCAGGATTGGAAAGGACAGTGATACACTGAAAGTAGCTATAAAAGGTTTTGCTAGCTACTGCAACCTGAATTATTAGTACTGAAATAAAAGCCAGTCTGGAAGCGGAGATGAGGGGCACTGCTTTTCCTGGGGCTCTTGGGCTTACCTCCCCAATGACACCAGGTTTTTATTGTTGGTGATAGGAAGAGCAGACCCTTCTCTACAAAGGCATCTCCAACCCCTTGAGGAATTACCTTGAAATTGGGTGGTCCAGGGGCACTGTAGATCAAGGAACTCTGAGTCCTGGGCTTTCTCCATCTGTAGTTCCCCATTTATACTGCAGCAAAGATAGCAAAAAGAGTTTCATTTCAATACATTCTATCTTTGATTCCTCCACTCTCCAAGCTCTGACTTATAAGACCAGTTACAGCTTAAAAAAACTTTGGTGGGGCAGCTAAGTGGCGCAGTGGATAGATAGAGCATCAGCCCTTGAGTCAGGAGGACCCGAGTTCAAATCCAGCCTCAGGCACATAACACTCATTAGCTGTGTGACTCTGGGCAAGTCACTTAACCCCAGCTGCTTAAAAATTAAAAACAATAACAACAACAACAAAACCCTTGGTGGTCAGGTCATGTCATTGATCTCCATATTAACTTGTGTCTCCTCAGGGATTGGCCCCAGGTAACTCATCAATTTTGTGGGGAAATTATAATTCAGGGCCCTGCCCTTTCTGCCTTGGGAAGTGCCATTGTCTGAAATTCAACCATTAGAGATCCTTTGCTTTGGTGTTAAAAATAAAATGGACACATGTAAAATGCATTTTGTACAAGGCTTTGGGGATTTATAGGTGAAATAAGACAATCTTTGCCTTCAAGAACCTTTCCACAGATTGGAATCTTCTTGTAATGCAAGTACTACATCTAATAAGCTCAAAATGAATGCATGATCTCTAGGTATAAAATGTCATAAATATACTTGAGAAAAGGAGAGAAATCCTTTAGTAACTAGTAGATCAAAAATTCTTGATTGAAGGAAATCACAGATGAAAAAAAGGGACAGTTTTGATTACATGAAATAGCATAACCTTTTACCCAAAAAAATGAAGATAAAATAGAAGGGAAACTAAGAAGGCTTAATTCAAGAGTTTCCAAATATTATTCTGTCATAAGAAATAAGAGATTTAGAGAAACCTGAAAGCAAGCTTGAATGAAGTCAGCAGAATCAGGAAAATCATTAATGATGCCATAATCACATGAAGAGAAACAACTTTCAAAGATAAGAATGCTAATCAGTGCAATGACCAATTATTCCAGGAGATGGATAAAGCATGCAACCCACCTGCTCACAGATGAATAGATCAGAGGTGAAGAATGAGACATTTTCAGGCATAGTCAATGTGTTGATTTGTTTTGCCTTGACTATGTTACAAGGGAGGGGCTATTTTGGGGGGAGGGGCGGTGTTAATGGGGTTATAGTGATAGTAATGCCAGAAAAAAAGTTAGCATCATTGAAGCATTTTAAAAATAAACCCAAAAGAGCAAGAAGTTCAGAGGAAGACAGACAAGCAGGACAACTTTAAAACTAATGTAACAGATTTGAGGTTTTGTGTTCTTTGTATATGTTCATGTTTCTCTTCTGTCAAATTCAGAATAACAAAAAAATAAAAATTTATAAAACAAAAGGGAAATGCTTTCGTGAGGCCTAAGACTAAATACAGAGATTAGTCATTCTCAACTTAATGGAGTTGATTTTTTTTTTAGGTTACCTCCTAGGATGGATCGTAGGTATAGAACTGGAAGGGAGCTTCAAGGTCATCTAGTCCAGTCCTTTCATGTTAAAGAGAAGGAAACAGCTGGAGAGAGTTTGCTCAAGGTCACAGTGGTAAATGGGCTTAAAAGCCCAGATTTTTGACTTCTTAGCCTGTTTTTTTGACTGAACCCCATGCTACTTCTTTTGGGTGAGAGACTCAGACCAAATCAACAAACATAAAGTGCTCGCTATGTGCTAGACATTGTGCTAAGCACTGAGAATACAAATACAAAGAGAAAGAAAGACAGTCGTGTTCTTGAAACACATTCCAGTGGGAGAAGACATGCAGAATGAAGCTGAAAGGGGGTAGGGCCAAGGAGAAGGTAGAGAAAGTCTCATGTTTGGAGAAGAAGGAAGACATGACTGGCCTGTTAACTCTTTGAAATGGAGGCTCTACATACAGAATTAAATATTCCTCAAGTTGGCTATTCCTGTCTGGATGTTTAGGCTAAATTTATTAAATGTTGAATGTCTCAGAAACATTGTTACCTGTTTCAGTATCATCCACAAAAAGCATCTGGAGTACTTACAATGT